CTCAGAGAGCCCCAGCCCGTAACCCAGCAGAGCAGGTCAGGTTCCAGCTGATGGGTCGGTGGAGGCAGACAGGCAGGTCGAGCGTGCACTGCCAGCCGGTCCAACTTCAGCAAGGCCAGGTCATAATCATGGGATTCATCATCATAATATTGGGGAAGGTAGATCCTCTGAACTCGAGCCACTTCCTCGGTGGGGCTGCTGCGGTTCAGTAAGAGTTTACTCAGATACACCGTCCATTGTGAGGGGGAATACAGACTGTAGAGGAAGAGGGAAATAGGGGAAAATATGAGACTTATTTTATTTACAGCAATACTTCAATTCAGTAAAAGTTCAAATATTTCAAATTTTCTGGCAGTATTTTATTATTGTGGGTCTGAAATGCTGATCTAATGCTGTCAAAAGTACAGACATACCTCCTTGAAATAAAACAAATACATGGTATAAAGAGAAAAAAAACACTGCAGGATTATATCAGAATAGAAATAAAGTAAATATATGTAAGCATGCAAACAATGCCCCCGAAGCCCAAGACACATCCTACAATTCAAAGCAAGGTAAGAACACAAGATCTGCATTCACCAAGAGCAAACTCTGTTTAAAAGCAGAATAGTTTTTTTTACAGCAAAAGTCCCCAATAAGTTTTTCCAACAGTGTTTGTTGTGAATCCAAAGGCGGAATGAAACAAGATCAATGTTTTACACAAATTCTTAGGAAAGTTGAGAAACAACAGCAGCACAACAGCATACAACTTTTCCACACAACATGACCAAAAAATCTTCAGCTGAAAGAATTTTTTATTTTTTATTTTTCCTCTCCTCATTCTCACAACATTTTAACACCTCGGCCGACAAACTTCCTCCTCTCTTTCCTGTTCTTACCGGTCGTCATAGAAACAATGAGCAGCAGACACCACCCACTGGCTGGATATCAATGCGCCCCCACAGATGTGGGTACCTCTCATCTGCAGGCTGGCCTGCCATGGCCACTCCCCCTCTGAGGCATTTGTACCCCCCACAATACGGCTGGAGAACTGCCTCAGGCCACAGTCTGGACACATGCAGAGCAAAAGGTGGACAGCTCAGTATTCATACTGTGATCTAAACAAGCATGGCTGCACTAGAAAAGTACATGGAGTTGCTGCTGGGACTATTAACCACAAGTAAAAAATAAAAAGCTTTAAACCGCCTATGAGTTATTTTTAGTCTGCGTTGATTTTGGCTCCCCCTGTTGACAAAGCTGTAACCTTAACTTTGTTGCTGATCATTTGCTGTGTTTTTCAGTCTTCCTACCCCCCTCACAGCAGCTACAAACATTAAAGATCAGAACATTATTGAATGTAAAGCTTCTTGTTAATGGTCTTCACTGCCTATGAACATTATATAAATGCATCACTGTTATTAACCAATCAAAAACTCCTCAAAGGAGCTTTAAGATTAAAATAGTGTGTTTATCTTCTCACCACAATGTTTCTCATCTGATGCATCAGGGCAGTCTGTGACAGAGTCACACTCTGGGTTTGGTTTCTTCAGACATGTCCCATCAGCACACACATAAGTCATGTCTGTGCACGGCACACCTGGACACACACACACACATATATACCATAATCACGCACAAACACATTTTTATTACTGCGTGCGTGGTTTGAGAGTGTTACCTTGTGAACAGTTCATCTCATCTGATGCTTCAGGGCAGTCTGGGTGCTGGTCACACACTTTGTAATAATCCACACACTGGCTGTCCTCTGGACACTGAAACTGTGCAACACACACTGGAATGCATACAAACAAAAAAACAATCGATGGGCATCTTCATTCTCACACCATATAGAATATTTTTTTGGATATTGTAAACACCTCTCCTTTTTTTCAAGATTGAATGCATAGAGATGGCTCACACTCAGCTGTGTGTTTCACCATTTCCTTGCAAAACAAACATGCTGGAACAAAACTTACTGGGTGCTCCAAGAGAACCTGCACGAGGACAGCACACCTATGATCCAGAACCTTGCAGCGGTTACAACACTCTGTCAGTAAGTGGTTTGACAAGTTTTGTTGAAGCATTATGATTCGAAGAAATAAATTAACTGACATGTTGTTCTTTCAAATGAAATCCAACCACTATTTTTTAGGACAGTCTACTGGTGCTAGGACAGAAAATAAAAGTGTATATCGGTACTCCTGACCAAAAACAAAGAAGCTGCATTTCTGGCTCTAAACTTTGACATCTTGAGTTTGCAAAACCACATACAACAGTGTGGAAGGAAGTAGAATTACTCTTGCGGTTACAGGAGCAATTTCAAATCACCTTTCAGAAGCTATATTTTCTCAGCAGGTGGGTAACAAAACAAAGCAGACATATTTTTGCTTTTAAGTTTACCGGGTTGGTAGGCCAGAGGATAACTAACGTGCATATGTAAGGAAAAATGTGTCAAAATATGAACAACTGGTCAATAAACTCAGAGTGTAATAAATACCACAGTTCCTCTCATCAAGGCCATTGGGACAGTCTTTGATTCCATCACAGGCAGGAACACACAGGCCATTAACAGAGCACAGAAACTGACCAGGACAAGCTACAAAACACAGAAACATACGATTCATGCATCATTAAAAACACATTCATCAACAGCTCATTTATTCAGATGCTATCATCTGAGTCTCCTGTATCTGCAGCTCACGGTCTGACAGGTTGAAGGTGCTATAATGCAGCTGAAGGCCTGGGCCTGTGATTGACACCTCTGATGTCATGACAACAGTGGCCTTCACAGAGAGCAGGAAGAGGCGTTCGCTGTACGGTTGCAGGCTCCTGGTACCACACAGTCTGAAAGAGGGACAGAGACAGTGAGTTGAACTGAAATCATGGGTGTACAAGCCCTACAAAGACTGCACAAGGGGCATTAGGGAGGATCTGACACCCAAAGGTCTCAGGAGTGTGATCTGAATCAGTTTTATCTTTTTCTATTACAGTTACGTCTGGAAAAGTTTGGGTGCAACTCTTTCAGGGGGGCTCACATGGGGCTCTGCTGCCCCCTGTTGTTCAAAAGATTAAAGAAACATATGATTAAGATTTTCTTCAGTATTTGTCCTTTTATCTCATTTAGCTTAAAAATACAGCTAATTTCTTGGTTTGTCTTTAAAAACCCAGTCAGTGATCTGCATGTCATAACCTGCGGGGAAATTTTCATATGACCTCATCAATACTTCCTGTATCAGGCCAAACCACAAACAGGTGTCAGCTATGAATAGACATGATTTCAGGAAACTGACGAACTGCGACATTTTCACTGATCAGTGTTCTTTTAGTTAAAGCAGGTGTGTCCTCTGTGGAAATTCATCTATTCTCTGCGCATGGTTTGATGTCGAGTTTGTAGTCATTGTCTTGAGTCTGTGCACCTGATAGATGAATAAAGTTTCAAAAAGTCTCTCCACATGATCAACTAAGCACAGAGAGGACTTTCTGATACTTTTCGATATGTTTTTCTTTACAGGTCTATATATCCATTCAGATTGAAGCTGCTCTCAATCAGCTGGTTTTCAGGTTACCTGCGGTTCTGGATGATCCACTGTCCCTGTGTACAGGCCAGGTTGTAGGTGGCTCTGCTCAGCTCATAGCCCTCAAACTCCAGAGACAAACCCAAACCTGGACTGGGCATCTGAAATTATACAGGCCAATGAAAATATCTAAAAGCATGTCAGCATGTACTGCATTTAAAATGTAGAAAGATGAATGAACATCTTACAATGAAGCTCCAGGTACAGTTGGTATCAGGGGGGTAGTAGCTGGGGTAGAAAGGTGTCCTTAGTGTCCCCTGGACCCCTGATACTGCCTTCAGCTCTACATTGGAGTGACAGTCTGAGAGAGAAAAGCACAGTGACAAAAGTACTGATTTCGTTGTTAAAAGAAGAAAACTAAAAGTTGAAATGTGAGAAAGTCAGACATCACTCAGTAAGGGGCACCTAGCCTGGCAAAAGATAGATGAATCAGCTGTGTCGGCACCAAAGCATGGCCAAACGTGTAAATATGACACATGAACATCTTTGCTAATGAATAATTCCTTCATATCTTTTCATGTTTAGAGGAGCCATCTGTGTACACATCTTTGTCTTTGGTTGAGACAAGTTAAACAGGGAACATAAGCTGATAAATTTACCTAGAGACTGCTGGTGTTGCTGCTTGTAAGCCTGGTTGATGTTGGTGAAACATCTGAGATTTTTTTATTTAAAATGTGTTTTTCTGCAGTTAATATGGAGCAGCTGTAATCTGGTCTTTTGCCTGGAAGTATCTAAAACTGTATGAAAAATGTCAGAAAATAAAGTCTATGTGTTCAGGTGGTCTTACCTTGGTGAACCCAAGCCTGTGCTGACAGAGAGAATGGGTCCTTATAGCTGTAGAGACCCTGTTTCCAAACAACTGTTAACCACTCGCCTGAAGACAGGACACGCACCACACGCTCATGTCTGCTGCAGCCATACACACTGGCATCAGATGGAAAAAAAACAAGTATTTATAAAGAGGAGGACAGTCAAAGAGAGTAATGGTACATAATACAGCTATCTCACTCTGTGGATGATACTCACGACGTGATGAGCTTTGTGTCACTGGGGGTCAGGGAGTTGTACACCACCAGCCTGTCCCTGCACTCCGGCAGCAGCCACTCCATGTGGAGCTCCAGCTGGGAGCCAGGAGCAGCCTGGAGGTGCCACAGGCAGGAGGAGCGCTGCGTATCGGGGCCACGGAGAGCCACGGGACTGCTGGACACCACCCTCTGGTAACGGTAACAGTCTTGGAAAACGGAAAGACACAAAATGACAGAAGATGAAGTTGTGTTACTTGTGTTATAGACAATTTGAACAGGCTCAAAAAATTGTGGTAGATGGTGAACTTCTCTTGCTGGTTTAGCCGTTGTATTGCATGCAAGAAATAAAAAACAGAGATCACCAAACCATTGGTTGTGGCTAACTTCTTTCAACTGGATGCTTTAATAAATATTGATAGAAATTAGCTCACTTGTTTCTGTAGTTGCATTCATGTATTAGATTATTGTTTGGTGTGAAAATATTTTTCTGCATGCAAATAAATCTCAGTTAGAGTAAAGAAAGATAAAAAGTTAACATAAGAATTTAGGAGCCAACAAAAGAAAATTAAGAGTGATACCAAATGAGGCTTTGAGAAGCTCTATAACTCTGGGGCTGGTTTCTGTAAAGAACATGAAACAAAGCCACAAGAAAGAAATGATAAAACACATTTTGTATCCTTGATTTAAAGTTTTATCTTTCTGTTTAAATGTTGATTTCCTCCCTCTTTTGCTCCCACCAGTAACAGACAGCGAGGGGAGGTGGAGGAGGTATCCATCACAGCTGGCCGTGTCCTCCAACTTTGACCCTCTGTACCACCTCAGGCCGCTCTGCAGGCTGTCAGTAACCTTTTCCAGTGTGACCTTCCCAACATGGCTGCCTGGCACTGACATTATGATCCAGAAGTGAGCCACGACGCTCCCCTCACTGCAGGACACAGCAGAGACTGAAATCACAATGAAGTACCAAAACGATTCCACAGTCCCTGCACTTTAAGCAACATAAATGAGAAGGTGACGTTTTTGCTGATACAATCCTGAATAAAATCTCAAGACCACCTGAAAAATTACAAGCATTTGGATTTCATGCTGGTAGATCACAACCAGGTTGTAAGTAGAGCTTCAAAATGCAAAAAAAAGAAACAGGACCAGGAGACAAAAAATAGAGAGAAGGCAATTTGTTGAAAACTGCATTTGAATTCAAACAGGCTATTGCTTGTCTTTGGTGTTGCAAATATTATACTTTAGCCTCCATTTTTCTATTCTATAATATTTTAGAAAAACAGGTTTATACTCTGTTATTTGCAGCTAAAATATACATCACATATGTTACGCTATTTCATGCAGAATGAAAAGAGCAAAGCTGAGTTATAGGTAGTTTGGTTGGAACTTCATTATCACATACGGCATAATTTTGCAATCCTTTTGGCATTTTTTCCAACAGTTTCCTTTTGAAATTTAAGCACAAGGCATAAACAAGTCTGAGTGATCATTGTTTGAAGGTAATACCAGAGTCAGTTTTGGATAAAAGTTTGATCTACATACCCAAAGGTGAACACGGTGGTGTGGTTAAAGTATCGGGAAAGACTTGAAGCCCTTATGATTGTCTCTATCTGAAAGAAAAAAGACAGACAGTATCAACTGTTCGCATGTTAAACAACTTTAAATAGACAATGCATGCATATATCATCAGACATAAAGTCAACTTAGTCTTGCAAGCTTGTTTGCAATCTTTTTTAATACCCTGGCCTGATGCGGTGACTTCCACACTGTGTCACACTTCGCACCAGTTTATCATAGATCTGATCGAGAGCTTCTTTTATTGTTGTAAGTCTAGTCTTTTTTAAAAAGTCTGGACAGAAATTTATGCTAGTATTATTCATTGTTTTGGTAGTTTAACTTAATTTCAAAAAACTGTAAGAAAACATAAAGAATAACCAATGGTCCAGGTCCCAAAAGAATAAGAACCAAATTCATCTGCAGGACGTCAGTATCTTATGAAATCTGGGCCTGTCCTCACCATTTTCTGCACCCCTTTGGCCTCTCTCTTGAATGCAGGACTGCTGTGTAAAGATAGATCAGCTGAGAAGTTCCTGTTGATGATTGAGAGGAAGGCTGTGTACTGCTGCTGGACACGAGACTCCAGCACCCAAACCTTGTATTCTGTCAGAGAGGAGGGTATGGTGGTCAAAACATCACAGAGGACAACAGTTATCAGGTCAGTGGGACTGGACCTGGACAAAACAGTTGTAAAACATCCCTATGTTATGATACATATCCCTTATGAGGGATATGTGTCAGTGCAGTTCAAATGCATTCCTTACCCAAGAAGTACCAGGCTAGTAAAACTCCCGCAGCCAAGAGGAAGATGATAAGGAAGGCCAGAAGACACTTGCAGCATCGTGTCATCCTGGTTAGTGACACCACTTCTTGTCCACCAGCTCCAACCTGCGGAGAACAAGTAAAACTTTGACTTTAGGGGGGGTTAAAAGTGAAGACTTTGGATCTAGAGCTCAATTTGAAGTGCTCTGGGTAAACAAAGATCTCAGAAGATCAGGTTTCAACAGGGTTGTTAGATGTTCTATATTTGCCCTCTTGGTCAAATCTATCTACTTATTTGTCAGTATGAAGTATGATTACATAACCATTTTAACTGCATCTTTCTGCTTAAACCTGTAGCACACCCACACACCTGATTTTTCTCATTTTAAGCTTTACTCTACAGCCCCCCTAAATCACCACTACATGCACTTTATTTTAACCAGCTTCCTCTGAATCCTTGACATGCTTTCTAGGCAACAACTTCACTAGTACAGAAGTGCTTCTCGACATCTGGGGTCAAACATTGGTTTGTCACTGGAGTTACTCCTCAGGGAATTTAATTATAAAATAAATGGTGAGTCATTTGAACACAGTGAGGTCCAACCACTGACAACACATGACAACAGGTGTTTTTTAGTGGTTAAAGAAACCCTACGATCCACAGCTCCCCACCTGCTTTTACATGGTTACACTGTTTTTCATGCATCTGTTTGTCTTTTAGTCATAGATAATAACACTGTGAGCAGATTCTGAGCAGTCTCTATTTGCCATGTTACTGTATTAACAGATCCAGAATTATGCTGCCCCTTTGCTCTGTAAATAGATACAGGAATAAATATCATGGTAAATAAAGCTCTGTGATGTGTTAGATTAGCATGACTGACCTCAGCATTCACAGAACCAGGACTGACCTCCTGGTCACACGAAGCAGATCTCCTAGAGCTGTGTCCGAGTGCCATCGCCTCACTCCACTCCAGTTATTCCTCCAGAAATCATCTCACTCTTCATGGTGCGGCATTAGTGTTTGGATTCTTCCAGTTTAGATGCTTTTATTTTGGTGTTAACCAGACATGTTGCTCTGACAGCCAGCCCAGGAATGGTTCCCTCTCTGTTTGTCAGTCCAAAGGTAAAGGGGGGAAGGGCGGGGCAGTCACTTTCCAAAAGCTGGTTTATATCCGCACACTGCTTAGGATTGGATGAAGTTATCTATCTAGTCAAATCTAACAGCTCAGGGCCTCTCAAAACAAGCAGCAGTGAATCAGTGAGGCACAGAAGCACTTATGTCACCAACCATTGCCAAGCAACAGTGATGCTCCCTCTAACTACACACCTGCACAGGTAACTCAAATGGGAATTAGCAGGGCAAGGCTATTTACTCTATTATGCAAACCCCAACAGGCCATGGAGAAAGTCTGCAGCACAGAGAGAGCATCAGGTTGAGGCAATGGTGTGTATATGGAACCCCATCGCCTCACAGATTTTCTTTTTTTTTTTAAATATTCTTCATTACTGTATCACCTATCTTGGCATCATTTGCAGTCTGATTTATTAAATGTTGATGCATCTCTAGTCATATTAAAATATACCAGTTAGTAATAGAGAAAATCCATTAAAGAAATTCAATTCAAGAGTCACAAAATGACCATTTGTTTTCATGTATTTTATTGGTTATTTCAGCATCTTAAAAGCATTATAATTTTTCTAACATCATGGAGACAGAGTGCTGCTGAGTTGAGCACTGATACATCTTTAACTGTTCAAAAAAGGGAATAAAAGAGCAACTATATGGCGGTTCGATTCCCCCCTATCCCAAGTCTGTCTGTTGTGTCTTTGGGCAAGACACTTAACCCACCTTGCTCCCAGTGTGTGTCCTCCACTGGTGTATGATTGTGAGTGTTGTGTGGTGGTGGTCAGAGAGGCCGTAGGTGCAAAATGGCAGCCACGTTTCCATCAGTCTGGCCCAGGGCAGCTGTGACTGCTAAGGTAGTTTACCACCACCAAGGTGTGACTGTGTGAGCGAATGAATGATGTATCCAATGTGAAGCGCTTCGAGGGTCTCTGATAAAGCGCTATATGAAATCTGATGTATTATTATTATTATTAAAAATCTGGGGACATCATCTGCCATACCTTAAACTGGACACAGTCTTTGGTGATTTCTTCAGGTTTAGGTTTTTCAACCACAATCTTTTTGTTTGGTCATCAAAAGGCAGACAATGGAGACAGTAGCATGGGTCACAGAAACACTCCCTTTTTTGGGGTGCTAATCAAGCCATAAATTCAATCTTATCTGGTTGTTAGCACAACAGTGGATGGCGTAACACTTACCAGAACTACATTTCAAATAAGTAACACTCAATAAGAACTAAGCATACATGAAAAACAAGGTAGTGGCTAGTAATGATTAGTCACTAACACACTAGTGCCCCCACAAGTGAGGTGGATAAAACATAATTGAAGCTTTTCTACTGGTAAAAGTAAAAATGATTGATGGAGATGACCCTCCTTGGTTTGGGGTGAGCCTTGTAGGAGAATCTCTTCATACATTTAGGTTAAGAAATATAGAGTAATTATGTTTTAGTAAGGAGCTACAAATAATCTAGGTTGGCCTGCTCATGCAGCCTCATGACCCTGAGGTTGCAAGCAAGGCTGTCTTGCAGGAACCCGAACTATCTGTCTGTTGGCCATGCCAACCCTTCAAGTTTGTGCCCCAGTTTTGCCACTTCAGAAAAAGTCTGGACAGAAATTTATGCTAGTATTATTCATTGCTTTGGTAGTTTAACTTAATTTCAAAAAACACCTACTGGCTAAAGAGGCTGGACTCTGTAGCCAGTCATGGACTCACTCCATGACTGCCTGACAGCACCAAGGAACCAACTGCTGAGAGATGGGACCCACCCAAAATGGCTGACCCAAGGCAGGACAGTCGAGTAAGGCACGTTCCAAAGAATCAGCTCAATGGCAGAAACAAAATTCAGGCAATTAACAGCTATGCCAGCTAATGATCAGATATCCAGTTGGAATAATAAGCTGGCCAAAGGAGGAAATTCAGGCCACAGATGTTAAAACTCAGAAGTTGCTCACCATGCACAGGGGGTTACACCCCAAGTCCAGTATCCAAAGGCTATGCACTAAGCGCAAAAAACAAGGCAGGGGGTTAGTGAGCATCAGTGCCACTATCCAAGATAAAACATCCAAGCTCCATGACTATGTCAGGAAGATGTCCCTATGAGATGGTGCACTTAGTGAGTGTCTCAGACAATGGAAATCGACAGGGGAGGAGGAACCAGAGGAACCATTATGGAAGGAAAAACCCCTGCATGGGGTATTCCACCGACAGATAGCTGAAGTGGCTGATACGAGCAAATCCTACCAATGGCTGGAGAGGGCTGGACTGAAGGACAGCACAGAGGCACTCATCATGGCGGCACAAGAACAGGCCTTGAGCACCAGAGCAACAGAGGCCCAGATCTACCATACCAGGCAAGATCCCAGGTGCAGGCTGTGCAAAGAGGGCTCTGAAACAGTCCACCACCTAACAGCAGGATGTAAGATGCTGGCAGGAAAAGCATACATGGAACGCCATAACCAAGTAGTCGGTATGGTGTACAGGAATGTCTGTGCAGAATATGGACTGGAAACCCTGAGGTCAAAATGGGAAACACCAGAACCTTGAAGCAGTAAAGATCGTGTGGGTCTTCCAGATACAGATTGACAAAATGGTAATGGCCGACCAACCGGACATTGTGATCGTAAACAAACAGCAAAGGAAAGCCATTGTGGTAAATGTTACCATCCCAAGCGATACCAACATCAGGAAGAAGGAATACGAGAAACGAGAAAAGTACGAAGGGCTCAAGAGGAGCTAGAGAAAGCCTGGAAGATGAAGGCAGCAGTAGTGCCTGTGGTCATCGGGGCACTTGGGGCAGTAACCCCCCACACTGGAGAAGTGGCTCCAACAGATCCCTGGGGAAACATCAGACATCTCACTCCAGAGGAGCGCAGTCCTAAGAACCCTAAGTCAGGTTGTTCCGCTTTGCTGAAAGCACAGATTAACCAGTAAGGAGAGTTTATAACATAAACTAAGATCTTGCATTTTTGTGTGTTTGTCTGAGATTTGATCAAAGTACATCTACTTACTAACTTTGCAGACATGTTGTATGGACACCAAACTTTTGTTGCATGATACCCCCCCCCCCCACCCCCCCACCCCCACCCCCCGAAGTTAAATAGCACAAATCATCTGGGATAAATCTATGTGAACATTCATAATAAGACGCCATAGAAAATACATTCATCTGTCGAGAGAGCTCAACACGAGCACAGTGTACATTTATGTAAAACATGTTTGTATTCAAACGACCAATTCAACGACCCTCACTGTCCTCCTGAGCAGGACTTTGTTCACCTCTCTTCCTGTCTCACTGGCATGTATCCATCAGAAGAGGGCCTCACAGACATGCTGCCTGACATTAGAACAAGTATATTAGAGCACAACCCTGGACTTCCAGCTGGTCCAGTGAAATTCGAAGACATGTCGATGGAGGGTGAAAAAGAGCACAATCGGGAGCAGGGGGGAAGAGAAAACAAAAGGTTTGTTGATTCGGTGGACTTGCTGACATCGTCCAAGTTCAGCTGCTTCTCAGTCTGGCTTTTAACCCCTGAATTTTGGTGCTGGATCTCAAGGTCATCAGGCTCCAGCTTTTGGACTCTCTCATAATCAGAACAAACCTGAATGGAGTCTTTTCCAAAGATATCTACACTGCCTCCAAACAGCCTCTGAAAAACTCCATCTTTTCCTTTTCCTGCCACCTCCTCCTCTTCCTCTCTTTCTTCGTCATGGCATTCACTAACATTAATACTGTCTGCCTCCAGGCTCTCCTGACTGACCTCCTCACAGCTGCACACACCTGAATCTAGGCTCTGGAGCCTGGAGCGCTCCACCTGGAGCTTCTCAACCCTCTCGTAGTCAGAAATCACTGTCACAGGCTCCCCTTTCTTACAGCTTTTGGAGAACTGCTCCAGGATCTCCAAATCTTTCCCTCTCACCTTCCCCCTCTCCTGTCCTGCATCTTTATCATCATCACTTTGTCTACAAACAGGTCCATAAGGTGTATCAGCTCCACAGGGATCCAGATTCCCTGCAGTAAGTGAAGAGACAGGAAGAGGTGGAGCAGGACAGAGGTGGGCATAACTGGGGTTGGAGTAGCTGGAACTGGTGGTCTCAAAACTTCCCTCGCTCCTCATCTTCTCTAGCAGTGCCCCCTCTGGCTTGAAAGGGGCGATGACATCAAGAGGGGAGGTGATTTCTATGGAGGCGATGTCCAGTTGTTTGAAGATGGTTGTGAGCTGAGGGCTCAGATAGTTCTGGTGGAGAATAGTTTCAAGGTTAGAAAGAGAAAAAATCTGCATACTAGGTTAAAAAACATACTATACCTCTCACAACTTCACCTCGTTCCTATTTTACATGTCATAAGAAATTTCAATTCAAAGTTAAAGTGAATCATGTTTGCTTTTTTTTTAGAATTTGGCGCTTTCTTCTGTACACTTTGGACAGAAAAAGTTTGAAAACCTCTATAGGGGTTAATGAAATGTTTTGCAAATTAATTGTTCATTATAAGGATCACTGGGGAAAGAACTGTCATAAGAACTTACTTGGAAATTAACACTTTTGAGGAAGGACTCTGCTGGGTTTGGTATGGGCTGGCCTTTGATTTTAGTGACCAAAAAAATCCTAAAAGACAAAACCACATAAAGTTTCAACAAAGAATGAAATTAATTATTCAGCTCTTGATTTGAGATTTTTGGGACACAGATTTGTGCTCACCAGATGGTTTTGTTACGTTTCAAACTTATGACGGCAAGGAGTAGAACCAGCACCACCAAACATGTGATAATGGCGGGGATAAAAATAGGATCATCTAGAATAGGACAGTGCATGGTTCATTATATATAAATAACACTCAACCTACTGTACTTAGGACATTCAGAGTTGCTCAAAACTTCAAACATTAGTTTTAAAGATAAGGTAAAGCATTTTTAACCTTCAAACTGACATGGTTTTGTTCTTCCATTGAGTGACGTCCATGATGTTGTGGGGCTCCACTCACTCCAGACCGAGTCAGTGCTTTCTGCAACGGCCTTTACTCGAGCCCGTGCCTCGTACCTTTCCCCCTGTATCAGCAAATTAGGCAACAGCTTGACCATGCAGTTCCAGTCACACTGGCGTTCAGTGACACGTTTTTTCCACCCAGTCGTGTCCTGAAAAAGGAAAAAATATATATTTTAAGAAATGCTCATATTTGTATTTTAATTATACACTGTAATGGATTCCCTGTAGCCACACAAAACAATGTAAGCACCAAAAGTTACACTGATTAACACTTTTCTTGCAAATTTCAGGAGAAATTCTCAAAGTTATGTGTCAACACTAAGCAGCAACCCTTGGTCTTAAGAAATGAAGCTAAAGTGGAAGTGCTACAAACTACACTTTCATGAAGAGCTGGCGACAGAAGCACCAGAACCTTAAAAACAGGTGACTGCATCCATGTATTATACAGTCTATTATGCTTCAGACATGTACATCATGCTTCTTGTTTGAAATTTATAGGTGGGCTGGCAGCAAAAGTCTAGGAAAAGCTGGGGTGAAAAACCTGGTTGGCCCGACCCAGAATGTCAGGAAATTTTGAAAAGTTTTGAGGCAATGGTAATATTTTTTTTTTCACTATTTCCAATCTGGTCAACTTAGACCTGTCACATCTACTGTGGCCATAAAATAACATGGTATTATTGTGATGTAACAAAACAGCATCATCAGTCAAACTGAAGAAAGACAAGTGGAGCAGCCTAAGTCCGAATCATACATTCATGCACAAACAGAGAGAAAATGTTTACAAACCCATGACTCATCTGCATGTTTCCACTGGAGTTGAAAGTTGTAAGATCTGATTTTATGTCTTTTCTTGGTATCAGGAGGGACCAAGGACACAGTCGTAAAGTTGATTTTTGGTTGTGGAGGACGGTCCAGCTTTACTGCATCACGTGTGCGCACACACACGCACACACACACACACACACACACACACACACACACACACACACACACACACACACACACACACACACAAACACACACACAGGTCATCATAAGAGGCTCACGCTGGAAACTGCAAAGGATTAACAGGCTAAGTTATTGGCTATGCTTACTGTGACATGATGGCTTGAAGAAAATTCGGGACACCGTTTTCTTCACGGGGTTGCAAATTACTTTCACAGACAAATTATGGAAGGTCTGGAACTGAGAAGATATAAAGGAAAGACCACTTTAAGATTTAACATTCATGGTAAATAAAACAATATCAAACTATGGGGGAATGGTAAAGGTATAAATTAGTCCCAATTTGAAGTTGTCACTCACAGTTTCATCCCTTTTGAAGCTCATGGAGCACTTCTTGAGGGCTGGTCTAGAAGCATCGACAGGCTTCAGGTCGCAGGAGGAATTGTATCTAAATTTACTTAAAAACCAAAATAAGATAAAATAAAATCAAGATTGTGATGCAGTTATCCAGCACTGAGTGCAAATACATAGACCCGGACTATTCTGGTTTCTACATTTTAAAGCATGTTTTATGGCTCATGGTAGATATATACCTGAACATACTGTAAACACAGATCCGTATAGATTTGATGTTGTGTCTGTAGTCCTTACCTTCCACCCCCGTCGGCTTGAAGAGTGCAGTCATTGTCTTCCTCATATGTGCTTTTCCACTCACACGTGATAGTCTTATTGTAGTCACTGTAGCAGGGAAGAGCTGTGAGAAATAACAGAGATGAGACAGCTGAATGAAAGCATACATTTAGGAGCTATAATGTTGTGGTTTAGTTTAAACAGATCTAGACATCGATTGCTTACTTTTATCAGGCTGCCTGGGACATCCTTGCACCTTTCTGAGGGTGAGGAAGTAGAGCACTGCAAGATAAAGAAACAGCACAGCAGATCTCTTGTTCCTCTCCATTATTGTGCTCAGACTTCACCGGATCACTGGAAGGGTCAGGGTTTGTAGTTGTTTCAGTCCAGGATTGAACTCATTGTTTCCATCCTCTTTACATCCGGTTGAGTCAGATATCTAGCAGCATGGTCCTCTCTTCTTCATTTCACACTCCTGACCATAGATTCAGTGAAAACAAGCAGTGACACCAAAAGCTTCTTGAGAAAACAGAAATAGAAAGTTTCAAATCCTGCCCAGGTTTGTCTGCTGCGGTTCTTTGTACACCTGTAACAAAGTTTAATGGTTTTTTGTGTTGCATGTTTGTGTGCATGTTAATGAAAAATAAAGGAAACAAACAGTTGGCGTAGCCCTTGCAGTGCAGAGTCAAGGGGTTTCCACCAATCAGAATCAAGTATTCTTCACAGCTGGGTGATTAGTAAAAAGGACAAGAAGTTACAGCTTTTATTACTACCTAGCTTTGTTCACCAATACCAGCGGTGTTAAATACTTGATTCTGATTGGTCAAAATCCCTCAACAAGGGTAATATGGCCATGCACATCATATCAAACCACTGCCTGTTGACACTGCGGTAAAACGTTTAATTTAAATGTTGATACATTGTTGAAAAACATTTTCAGTCTAAATTGGAAGGCTAAATAACATTGAGGGTCATTTATTGAGGCACTCTGTCCTTCGGCAGGTGAAGGGTTATTCTGGACTTTTTCAATGAAAGGTGTTCATATCCTGGTCAAATGTTTTGAAAATATCTAGAAAAATTTTTTTTTTCATTTTTTCTCTCTCAAAAGACACAAAAGGGTCATCCTTAATTTAGGTCTAACATAATAAATAACTGTAAACAACTGAGTGTTTGTGACCGTATGTGATATGCCAGCTGTTATAAAGTAGATGTAAATAGATCTCAGAAATAAAGGGGAGTATAAGCCTTGTTGTCTTACCTGTTGGTCCAGCAGCTCAGGATGTTCTTCAAAGCGTTGAATTCATCCAAACTGAGGTACTGAGGAAGAACATCAGACACGTTATTTCATCATTGTAAAGGAAGTGACGAACTGGCGCAGAGATTAGAGATCAAACTTACACAGTTTGAAGGTCAACTACTTGGAAATTTTTTCTCTAGCCAAGATCAGTTTGTTCACTTTTATGCATCCACTTTCAAGGTGTGGTTTTTTTTTTTTTTTTTTTTTTTTGGGGGGGTCGGGGGTGTTTTTAACACTTAAGTGGTTTCCTCTTCCCTTTACTGAAAAGGAGAACATGTACGGACAGCTTGACTCTTTGCGCACCTGTTTTTGTGCTTTAAAGCTTAAACTGGGCTTAAGAGGAAACACAGTCCAACATATTGGCTCAAACAGGTGGGCACAGACTGCTTCAGCTTCATAGATACTGCTTCATGCTTAATCCACTTTACAGCTTCACTGTTCCCTCTCATATACGTTCCACTCTGTAGGCAGTCGACACTGTGCAGTATACCAAATAGCTTCTTCGCTTTTTCAAACATTTAACTCTAATGGCAACCAATCCATGTTTTATTACTGGCCTTTTTTTATCTGAACCACAATGACATTTAAAGTGTTTCCAAAACAGGATGTATGCGTGTTAGCGTACGTGAGAATGTAAGTGTACGTGCCACAGGTATGGTTTGTGGCTGACTATAACCCTCTGCACACTGACCCTAAAAACACCCACAGACCCAGTTAGAAATAACTTTCACTCTGCACAGAATCAATTCTATGACCTGCTAATCAAATCGCAGTTTTATGAACTTCATTTATGCACTCTGCAGACAACTTCTTTTTGACATTTCTGAGCGAAGGGGAATGCACATGTTTTTGCTGGTTGGGTCACCTGCAGGTGTGATTTAATAAAAGGTCAGAGTTGTCATTTCTGAGAAACTAAATAGTGCAGTGAGCTGCAGTTACTTCTCTTTGAGACACCGGGTTGTGTTTTTGTCATTGTAAAGTCCCAAACTAGATGTCTTACAGGATGTAAACTGAAGTGGAAGTAGTCAGAAAGGTGACCTATTTGACAAGTCCCTTTTGTAATTGTTGTTTCTGTTGAAAATAGACAACTTCTCACTTTTTGAGAAAAAAAGGTCATAGAAAGGAAGCTGATCTGAGCCTCTTCAGAATATGCAGATTACACAGCTGCCAATGAAGAGAACTTTAGCTGCAACAATATACCAGTATTGATGATAAACGCCACTTTTTATGTGTACGAAATATTAACACTGTGCTGAAAATAGCCACAACGTAATACGCTGAGTTGCCACAAGCCATGGAGCAAAGCAATGATGCAGCTCTGCTGGAGAGGTAGCTGTAGCAGCCTTCTGCTGTTTAATGACTTTTTTGACATTTGACTCAAATTGACTTAAATTCACACCTATAACTTTCTAGCCTGGCTGGGCCATCCTGTTGCGTGAATCACTTGCCGTTCCTTCCCACAACAGTCTGGACTTCGGCCCATTGGGAGCGTGTATTAGGTGATCAGAAAATCACCGGGCCAATCAGTGACTGTGTTTCGACAAACAAACCAACTCTAACAAACAAATCAGCTCTATAAATTACATTCTACCATAAGTGGTGGTAATTTTTACTTCAAAATAAAGGCATAGTTTAACAATGCAGGCAATAGAGCAAGCTAAATGAAAACTCCAAAATAAAAGCATAACAGACAATCATCTACTGTCGCAATATTTTCTAGCCTCATAAGAAGCTTCAGTCACGGGGTGGTGATGTGGACCAATCATAAGTAGACAGTAGTAAAGTAACAGCAGACTTTATCACAGGAATTACAGTGGGCTTGGGTGGTAATAGGTTAATATGGTATCCTGTGGTATTTAGAAGTAGTTCACAGTTTCATAACCTAGAAAACACAGTATGAAAAAAACAGAGTATGTAATAAATGCTCAAATGAAGCCTGCTTGTCCAGCTCCTCTGTTTACGTGGTTGAGTTTTCGGTTCTGATCTCTCTGATAGTATGAGGTTTCCCTGAAGCAGACAGTACTTACAGCATTCATTGGTAGAAAGTGTTACAGGAATTTAGCAGAGATGTTTGTCTATCTGTACATCCCTCATGTCTAAAACTGTAAGATTACACTGAGACGCTGAAAGTCAGTCTATCGGTTTCAAGCCTTTCTAAGAGAAGAGTGACATTTTTTCTTCTTCATCTTAAAATACCTTACACACAGCTGCAATGATAATAAGATGTGTTGACATGTCAACCAAGGTTTTTTCTCTTGAAAGCTCCCTTAAGTTGTCTGTTTGTCAGATATTGTGTGTCCAGACTTGGGCACAGATGCACTGTGTTGTCGACCATTTTTGGCTAAGTCAGTGTCCTGAGTCTTAATTGTCTGTGAGTCAGGACATTTGTGAATACACAAAGACATGTTTACGACCTCTGCATGCCTCTTTGTGTTTACATTCTCTGTTGATATACACTAAATCTCCCTCTGTGTTTATCTGATTGGTTGTACATCTGTGAAATCCCTTTCAGGAAGGTACTTCCACATGCCAATCACATGCCGATCGCTTGCTGACCTCTGTGAGGATGCAACAATGTGGGGGAAGTTTTAAGTTGTCAAAATTTGGATACCACCAAACTCTACATGAAATCCCATGAGGACAGATGGGACTCCAGTAAAGAGAGAGCACAGTCTTCAGTGCCTGGGGCTCCACATCTCTGGAGATCTGTCATGGATCTAAGCGTTTTACCCCATTGTGGTGAAGAACGAAGTAACACTCTTCACTCTGTGGTACTTGAACAGCACAGGGTGTGAACGAAAAGCCCTACAGAGGGTGCTAAAGTCAGCAGAGCCACCACAGACATAACATAACACCCCCCAACCCACAAAGACATCTACATACAGAGAGGGGTGGATAAACCACTCCAGCAGTGGACTGTTCAAGACTGAAAAGGAGCTTTTTCCTTCATGCTGTCTACACTGTGAACTCTGCCCTTCTCAAGTTAATGTTAATGTTACTGTATGCATGGTACACGCACACATACACGCAAACACTACATTTTTACAGTTGTGTATTCTTGCAGCTTGATTTTGAATTTAGGGCTGCAGGGGTCCTGCAGTAGTGAGCACTGTCACCTCATAAAGAAGGCTCCGGGGGGGTTGAATCCCCACAGGACAGGGACCTTTCTGTGTGTTGGTAACTCAAAATTTGCTAAAATGGTATGAGCTTGAGTGGGACTGTCTACCCATACCTATCCTATGGTTTACCCCCCCCCCCCACACACACACACACACACACACACACACACAAAAACACCTCTTTCTCAGAATAGCCAGTGTTTGACTTCTCAACAAGCAATCAAGTTGCATGCATTGAAATAGTTAAAGTCCTGAATGTGACCACGAGTTATCTCCTACTTTGATAACTGTACTCAGTCTACATACTCATCCAACTCATGATATCAGCCCTTTCCAAACTCTTGTCTCAGGCCATGATAATAGGAACATCAATCAACAAACTTTCCCATGTGAAGGTCAGCACTGATCAAGAGCTTTCAGTGTTGGAGATTGAAGAACCCTGAGCCAGATAGTGGGAAAAATGTCACTTTGAATCATATCCAGAGATTGAGTCTAATGTTTTCAGATACTATCTACCCAACAGTTTCTCTCTGTCTAACCTCTGTCACACATATAGTTTTCATTTATATCTAGCAACGTCTGACATTTGGAGTTCCCCCAAACTGTCTACAAATGTGAAAAAAGCTGACACTCTCTCTTTCCTTTTTCTGCTTCATGCACTGAAGTCATCAACAGAGTATAGAAACAGAACTGTCAGATGGGACCACTTCCTCTTCTTCCCAGAAAGTCGTTGTTGTTTCTAATAAGAGAAGTCATTCACCACTGACAAGATGCGTAAACTCTTTTCTCACTTTGAGCATGATGTAGTTACACCAACCCAAAGGATGGCCAGTTTGATATTATGTACAAACATTTATTAGTAATTTATCCCCACTTATGGTTGATACTGGGGCAGTGTGACAAAGCAATTCCTTTTTTTCTGTTGAAGTACAGTTTCAGACCAAGCAACTTTAACCTGGTATGTCTTGTCACTTGGAGTGAGTTATTACGGTAATTATGGTAACTGCATTTGTTATTATAAGTGGCTAAAAGCCATTTAATTCTTTGTTTGGGAGTTTGCAACCCTGTAAGGTGTTTTTAGCTGGCTCTGACACAGGCTGAAATTTACATAGATGTCAGTTAAAAAACATTAGGATGAAGATACTTGTGTTTTTATTCCTGTTACTGCAGCTACAAGGTCAGCGTCAAACTTAGACTCAGACTAGAAGTGCCATAGATTAAGAATTCAATAGAAAAATACTTAAGTGACATGCAAAATGATGCAGAACGAGATTTGTCATCAGAAAAAACTAACATACTCACTCATTGTGCGAGAAATGATTGGTTAAGTTATAAGATGTGATGCTCTGTCTCTGACAAAAACTGAAAGCTCCTCACAGGAAAAGTTTTCCAACAGACTGTAGCAGCTCCAATGTCGAAGGGACAGATACAGGAAATCTTTCCTGCCACAAGCAATTGCACTGTTTAATAACTCACATCTGTCAGACAGGGACTCACACCTGTCTGCTGTATAGTCCATTTTTAAAAACTCCTACCACGTCACATTATTGAGCACCTTAAATTGTCTGTTTATTTATCATCCCATCTGTATATTTCGCATTTTCATATTTATTACGCATTTCAATAGCCCACATTGTTCATATCTCACTTTTTTCTCTTAGGATGTTTAGTATATTTAGTCTGTATTTATTGTATATAGTTAGTATTTTTTTGTATTTTTAGTCTGCTTTGTACATACTTCTTCTTATATTTAATTTATTTTGTGTTTTTTTGGGAGTAGTTGGCCCCGTTCAAAAAGAATTGGACCCCCCTGCTTTGTCTTTTTTATTCATGTTTTTCTTCATTAAAGTTGTTTGCATATGAATATATACTATATCATCATGGAGCCAGTTATTGTCCTGGCATGCATTTTCTTTTTGATAGATAGATATACTTTATTGACCCCAAACTGGGAAGTTCTCATGTTACAGCAGTAAAAAAAAGGTGAATTTTAACTCACCTCAGAAGATGCTGCCTTCGCAAATATCAAGTCAGAGTAAAAGATGGTGAGATAGGGGCATAAATACCAGCCACACCGCAATGAATTTCAACTAAAAATAAACCACACGTATGCAAACAGCAATAAATTCCATAGATGGTTTGGTTTTAAGATTCAGACATGCGTATGCGTAAGCAGCATAATGAATAGGAAGAGAGACTCATCAGCTGATTCAGAGAATGGGCCGGTCAACATTTGCTGGATATGTTGCAACAAACTTTGCCACAAAAATTCAGTGTTAGTAAAGTAACTCAGCTCAGTTGCCCCTTTTTTTAGTCCTGCACTTAAAAAAAAAAAATCTGTGATCTTAGGAAGTTAGTTCTCATTCCCACAGAGACACATGAATGTTTGTACCACACCAACTTACTATTTTAGCACACAGACATTTGTATTTATAGAGAAAGTGTGGTTTTAGACTCTGACATCTGATCAACCTTTAAATTCTCTTTTTACTTTTAATTCTCTCACCTTTTACATACTAGCATTTTGTTCCTCACACACCTTCATTTCCTTCCTTAAAACCCTAACTTTGGGTGTTTGAACTTTGCTGCTATTCAAAGTGTGCACACAGAAAGCTGACATATTGTATTATGAATTCTTATAAGCCGCAACCTCCAGCTGTGTTTTTCCTATGTGAGGTTTCGTTAATCATTATCAGCATGAACCTCTTGGTAAGAATTGGTCTCAGAATTTTCCACAGCTCTTTAAAGACTTTTGGGGGAGTTTTCACACTGTGTTGAATCTGGTGACCCCTTTTGTTAAGATGTTTTGACTGGATAAAGACGTATAGGTTTATTGTATAGACTATATATGGTATATTAATTTATTGAAGGTCAGAGTTTGCCACTTGATGTCAACCTGGTTGTTGTTTTTTCCTTAATGTTGTATATCTATTGAATTTATCAGCAGAGGCAGATTCAACTGAGAGACAACTGACCCCCAACCACATCATCTAGGTCCAACTCCAAAAATGTGATTGAACTAACACTAAAGACCAGTTAAAGACTAACACAATAAACCTACTTTTGAGCATGTCAGCGTAAAAGCTTTGATCAATAGATTTGATATCAGATTATATTGTTAACTTTATTTGATTGTCATTTTTGTCTTCTTTGTAAATCACAAGACTTTCTCATCAACCATCATGATCAGACCCTTTATCAGACTCTTCATCATCATTTCAACTTCATCTGTAGCTTCACTTCCTCCCAGATACTCTTCCAGTCATTACAATAGAAAAAAATTTACTCCACTTTTAAATAAAAAAAGCATTTCTGATCACTTTTACAGGGGACTCACCTATCCTTGCATCTGCCTGTCCGTGTCTTAGCACAATTCAGCGTGATCTCACACTCCTCTCCATTTCTGTACAGTCATTCAGAGCATGCTGATAACCTGTTTCCCTTCCCTGACTTGACTGAGAGGCGTATAGGAAAGAGAGAGAAAAAAACCCAGGTCAGTGTGGTTTCCCTCACGCAAGTGCTGAGCTACAATTTTGAGAAGTGTAAAAACAATTGTGGAAATCCCTGTTAGAGCTGTTTGAACTTCAGTTTCAGGCAAAGTAGAAACTAGGGGTGGAGCCGAACCCGAATACAGTATTTGAAAAGGCACAAATAACATGTTTTTACGAACAAATACTTTTAAAAATATTTGTATTCTGGAACAAGAAAAACATCTTATCAAAAAGCTGCGTTTCCTCGTGAGACCGCAGTGCATGCCCGGATGAGTAAGCGAGTGACGTTCAGGAGTCAGGGGAGGGGAGAGAGCAAAAGAGACTAAGTGACACAGGCTGCACAACACCAGAGGTGTCAAGTAACGAAGTACACATTTTTCAGCTGACTTTTTACTTCTTCTCCTTACATTTTCACACAGTTATCTGTACTTTCTACTCCTTACATTTTTCAAAAAGCCTTGTTACTCCTTTTTCATCTCGGCTTGTTTAGGGTTTCATTCCGGCGTCTTATCGTTTTAAAAAAAAAAACACAACCCCTCCTCAAAGTCCTTTCCAGAAAAAACGTGTCCAGTTTCGTTTTTGTTCCTTCATCTCCTGTTTCTGGGCATCCCTGAATGCAGCATGCTAAGCGCATCCTCTATGCCCACAAAAGTTTGAAGTAAGCTAAGCGGACTATGTATTGTCAAATGGTTCAAACTGACTTTTTCATAATGTGTGTGTCTGTCAGGCACAACCACACAAACAGACTTCTGTTAGTGATTACCTGTGTGTGCGCAAGTGTCTGTGTGCTCTATCAGATTTTGACATATGCTCAATACAAAACTTTCACATTAGCTCACTGCATCTCACAGCAATGGTTAATATTGGCATTAACAGCTTTAAAAATATTGGATAAACAGAGTTATTGGCAGTAGCAGCAGATGTACAGAAGCAACCCTTAGATTTGATGTTTTAGAAGTTTTACACTACACTTGGCAGAGCACGCCCTGCGGCCAATAGTGGGCCCCCAAGAGTAACCAAAAAATAATAATTTTAAATAATTTTTATTTTTTTTAAATAATTTTTATTTTTTGCATGTATGAGTGATGCTTTCTGTATGATCAAATATATATCATTGTAAAAATAAAATAAAGTAATAACATTTTAGTGCTTCTGCTGATGTAGGCCTATGATTCTTACTGCTGATATGTCAAAGCTCTGCCACCATTATGTGCCCTCTGCTGTGCAATGTGCACTGAGTATCCAAAGCGCAGGTAGTTGTGGGGCAAAACAATGTTGCAAAAAAAGGACATATCTCTCAGGAGCAGAGAAAACAAAAAGCAAGAAAGAAGAAGAGGAGAAAAAACGCCAAGATAAAGGTATGTTTGAATGTCATGGAATGCTAAAGAGATTTATGAAGGTGTGTGAATGATCAACAATCAATATTATTGGCAGAAATAGAGGGCCCCAATATCAAATTTTGCTTAGGGCCCCATTGAGGCTTAGGCCAGCTCTGTGGTACTTCATTCTCCTTTTGTATTTTTTTCTACTTTCACGAACATTATTTCAGTAGCTTTAACACAGAAAGTTTGTTTGGGCTCATAAGTTAGGTTGGTACAGAACACACATTCAATCAACTTACACACTTCACTTTTTCACCGCACAGTAGTATACCCTTTCACACGTATTTGTCTTAAGTTAGAGTCACTCACTGAGGTCAGTCAGCAGTCTTCACCTTCTATACCTTTACTTTAAATTAGTTTTAAGTGTTTTGTAGCTTTTGTAACATTCCTACAATTGGTCAGGAGGTCTGGGAAATGCTTGTGTGTATGGGATCTCTAAATGGGATGCTCAGCCTATCCTTACTGACCTCTTTCTACATGTCTACATGCTACACCGGACCCACTCCCACCTGGATAAGGGAAGCGGCACAGTGAGGATCCTCTTTTTATTTCTCCAGTGCTTTCAACACAATCCAGCCCCCCTTGCTACAGGACAAACTCATCAGCATGGGAGTGGACCCCTACCTGGTGGCCTGGATCTCCAACTACCTAACAGACAGGCCACAGTATGTCAGGATGAGGGATGCCACATCTGAAACTGTGATCAGCAGCACTGGAGCCCCCCAGGGCACAGTGCTGGCCCCTGTTCTCTTCACCCTGTATACATCGGACTTCTGCTATGATTCGGAGCTGTGTCACATACAGAAGTACGCAGATGACACAGCCATTGTTGGGTGTATTAGGGATGACCGAGAGGAGAAGTACCAGAGTCTGGTGGGGGACTTTGCCTCCTGGTGTCGCCTTAACCACCTGGAGCTCAACACCTCAAAGACGATGGAGCTGGTCATACACTTTGGGAGGTCCAGACCGAAGCCGAGACCAGTCCTGCAAGAGGGAGTTGAGGTGGAGTCTGTCGACTCCTACAAATACCTTGGGCTGTGGCTGGACAACAAACTGGACTGGTCAGCACACACCAGCCACCTATACCGGAGGACCCAGAGCAGGTTGTACTTCCTGAGGAGACTCCGGTCCTTTAACATCTACAGCAAACTGCTGCGGATGTTCTACCAGTCTGTGGTAGACCAGTCAGTCAGACTAGACAAACTGATCAGGAAGGCCGGCTCTGTGGTCGGCATGAAGCTGGACTCTCTGGTGACGGTGACAGAGACGCAGACACTTCACAAACTGCTGGAGATCATGGACAAGGCCAGTCATCCGCTATACTCTGTCATCAGCAGCCAGAGGAATCTGTTCAGTGAGAGACTGCTCCTTCCCAAGTGTCAGACCAACAGACTCAGGAACTCCTTTGTCCCCCAGGCCATCAGACTGTACAACTCCTCACTGGAGGGTAGGAGATGACTGAGGACAGTAGGGAACAGGCGGCAGACACCACCCACCCAGTTCACATGCTGCAACCATCCACCCATCACGCACGCTCGCTCGCACGCACGCACACAAACACACACACACACACACACACACACACACACACACACACACACACACACACACACACACACACACACACACACACACACACACCATCATATGCCACTTCTATATTTTATTAGGAGTGTATTTCTTTTTTTCCATCTCTATTCGGACTATGTACCTTTTTCAATGTGCAAGAGTCTATAGAGTTTATGTAGATTGTGTAACTTGTATCTTATTTTATTTATTTTTTTTTGTATTTTATCTTATTTTATGTTGTAACTACGTTTTGCATGCTGCACTTTGCACCTTCTCTTCCTCTTAACTTGTAAAAGCTGCTGGTAACCTGAATTTCCTGCGGGAGCCATCCCAAGGGATGAATAAAGTTTAGTCTAAGTCTAAGTCTAAGTCTTTCTATCTCCTGCTCATCAAGCCACCCAGATAGCAAAAGATAGTGATTCAACGTTGAATTTTGGTAGAAAAGGTTGATTTTTGGTTACGATTGAAGACTGATGGTTGTTCAACATTGAATCACTGTTGTATTGTAGTGCACAATTCACCGATTGAAATGCCACCTTGAATCAGCGTTGAATCTATGGTGCATATTCACCGATTGAAATGCCACCATTGAATCAGCGTTGAATCTATGGTGCATATTCAATGATTGAAATGCCAGCATTGAATCAGTGTTGAATCTATGGTGCATATTCAATGATTGAAATGCCACCATTGAATCAGCGTTGAATCTATGGTGCATATTCACTGATTGAAATGCCACCATTGAATCAGTGTTGAATCTATGGTGCAAATTCAATGATTGAAATGCAAACATTGAATCAACGTTGAATCTATGGTGCATATTCCATGATTGAAATGTCAACATTGAATCAACGTTGAATCTATGGTGCATATTCACTGATTGAAATGCCACCATTGAATCAGCGTTGAATCTATGGTGCATATTCACTGATTGAAATGCCACCATTGAATCAGCGTTGAATCTATGGTGCATATTCAATGATTGAAATGCCAACATTGAATCAACATTGAATCTATGGTGCAAATTCAATGATTGAAATGCCACCATTGAATCAGCGTTGAATCTATGGTGCATATTCCATGATTGAAATGTCAACATTGAATCAACGTTGAATCTATGGTGCATATTCACTGATTGAAATGCCACCATTGAATCAGCGTTGAATCTATGGTGCATATTCAATGATTGAAATGCCAACATTGAATCAGCGTTGAATCTATGGTGTTTGCCTTTTTCTTTTCTTTTTTTCTTGATTGGGGTGGGGGGGGCACACCCCTCCTCACACCCCTCCTCACACTCCCCCTCCTCCCATTTGATGATTGAAATGACAACATTGATTCAATGTTTTATCCATGTTGTTTGCCTTTTTTCTTTGCTTATTTTTTCTTGTTGGGGGGAGGGGGGGCAATCCCCTCCTCCGAAATGCCAACATTGATTCAAATCATTGTCAGCAGGACAATCCCAACAATAATAACAATAATAATAGTAATAATAATAATAATAATAATAATAATAATAATAATAATAATTTTACATTTCATTTATATTGCAATTCATGTTTGAAACTTCTCAAAGTGTGACGAAGTAGTTGGTTCCCTCCCCATTCATTCTCTGAAGACTGGGTGAGAGCATTTTATAGGCGGGGGTGTTGCATTAATGCATTTTAAATTAAGGCCTAAATTCTCAATACCTTGAGGACAATGGGTTGTGATTTTGCTTTGAATAGTCTTCTGACGGTTTATGCATAATTTGTAATCACAAAAATATAAGTTACCCTCAGAGGAGATTCGAGAGCATTCCAAAATACCCCGATTAAAACTTAGTGGTATGTCCCAACCAATTTCCTCTCTCTCTCTGAGGAATCTACTCAAGCCTGAGGAACGACAAAATACAGTGGTGAAAGCACTTATGGAATATTTGTGGGACACAGGCCTGTACCATAAGGTGTAAGGCCACAGTATAAATCTTTGTAATTCCTAGCACGGACTGTGGGAGGCAGCAATATGCCGATGGGCGTCTAGACTGCCGAAAAGCCAAAAGAAGAAGAAGAATTTCCTCCTGCCGGTGTGTATGCCATAGACTGCATCGATCACTCCTCCGACCTTCTCTGCCTGTCTTGCACAGTAAGTTTGACATATTTCTTTTATCTTAACTGTTTTCAGTGAAGCAAACAAGCTTTGTTTTGTACTTATGCTTGATGTCCTTAGCCTGGCTGAGTCATCCTGTTGCATGAATCACTTGCCGTTCTTTCCCACAACAGTCTGGACTTCGGCCCATTGGGAGCGTGTATTAGCGATCAGAAAATAACCTGGCCAATCAGTGACTGTGTTCATTCACAACGCCGTTAATTCTGCAGTTGACTTTGCAAAGTCGGCAGAAATCATTTAGATTCGCAGAAGACGTCAGATATAAACGATTTCTGCCGACTTTGCAAAGTCAACTGCAGAATTTACAGCGTTCTGAATGAACGGAGCTTTGAAAAGTCCCACAGCATGTGTTAGACGTCACCATCTACACATGACCAATTAGGGCAGGGGTGGGGAACACTGTGCCATGGTTTTCCTTCCAACCCAAAACTCCACCAGGTGATTTCACTGATCAGTGAAACGGACATGTTTGTAGTCTTTGGGAATAGACACTGATGTATCTTTGAACACATAGTTGTAACATGTGTGTGCCAGTTGAAATCCTTATTGATCAGCACTCCCAAGTACTTATAGGAGGAGACTTGTCTGATGTTATGGTCACGAACAGTATTCTTTTTATCTTGTCTTTAAGCTGCTGCTCGACAGTTTGATTACAAAATGAGCCAGAAGCACTCCGAGGATACGGACAAGTCTTGGCTGCGTTTTGCACCAAACCGACAGGGAGGCATCCCAAGAAATGCTTCGGTGCAGCAGGGAGCTGTCCCAAGAAGTCCCGATGCATGTGGCAAATGACATTTTCTACTAATTTTCTACATTTTCTACATTTCTACTACTCTGGATTTTCTACTAATTTTCTACATTTTCTACTACTCTGGAGTACTCTGGACTTTTTCTTTAGGCTACGTTATCGGCAATTGTCATTGCCTTGATGTTCAATAGATTTTAAGTTTAAAATCATGTTGTCTGTATTTATTTTTGAATTCATTTTTAATATTTATTTTCATATTTTAGGAAAAGGTCATTTTGAACAAGCTATTAAGATGTAGGGCTCTATTTTGGTTCCTCGCCGGAGACGTGCCGCAAGCGCAGCGTCAGTCAGATCCGCCGCGCTGACAAGGCGTTCCCAAGCACATTTTGGTATTTTGGTGAGCCGCGCAGCCCGGCGTAAGTATCCCCCCTCCCTAACTCAGCTCCTCCCAGCACCATAAGTCGTAGATGGGGTGGAGAGAGGGCGTGTAGTGGGTTTAACACAGCCGAGACCTGTTTTCACCAATCACATAAGCTCCTCTCCTTGCCTTTAAATCCGCCACCGGCGAGGCGTATTACTATTTTCATGAAGTAGTCAAAGAGATCAAGAGATGTCTTAAGACAGTAATGCCACAAGATGGCGACAGAGGGCAGCTCCTCAACAAGTGTCCTCCACACCCTCTCATATAAGCACAGATGGATTTGGTGTGTGTAAGGTAGGACCCACTGGTAAGACAAACACCCTTTTCCACAAATAAAGACACTCACATAAAATTGCACATATTCAAACCTCACGTGACAAAGGTGGGTTGTGCGCAGAGATCACATCATAAATTCCAAAAATGGCATTAAAATCGGAACCATCTGTGCGTAAAGGACGCATCACGCTCCGTGGCCTGGCTCTTTCTTTCATAGTTGCTTGCATATAAAATAAATTTGGCTCACAAAACTGAATATTATAATATTTGCATGTAGGCTTAAAGAAAATAACTCATCTGATCACTGAAACAAATCATCTGTTCAGCCCCCACAGCAGCAGCAGGACGGGGAGAGGACATGGAGACATGTCCAGGTCGAGCTGCGCAAGAAATAAGAGGAAGAGGAAGAAAGAAAAGGAGGGAGATGAATTAAATATCTTGTTCACTTCATCATGTGTGTCTATTTACTAGATATTTAATTTAATTTAATGCGGTTTCAGCTGTGTTGATTCGGTCAGGTTGTGTGTCCAAACGCATGCCAAACACGCTCATCAGATCAGATATAGATCAGAATATATCTATATAGATCTAAATGTATGTGCTGTCTCAGATTATTAGTTGTTGATGATAAATTATTGCACTGAAATGTGCCTGACACTGTGGAAACCTGCCGGTGAGGCATCAGTGACGTATGTCGATACGCCGCCGGTCTACCAAAATACTACTCGACCAGCTGCGTTCCGCCTTGCGCTGAAAGCTGACCAGGTTTGAATCGGCGAGCTTTCAGCGCACTTTACACGCCGGTGGCGAGCACGAAAATGTCACTGCGCCAGCTGATTCTGTCGACACCTCCCCCTGCCACGCCACCACGCCCAGCTTGGCGGATCTCGGCTTGCCTCCGTGTGGCTCAGTCCACAAAAATACCAAACTGGCCTTACGCTGGGCTCCGCCAGACGAAAATACAACTGCGCGGGGCTCGCCGCCCTCCGCCGCCTCACCGGCGCACACGAAAATAGATCCCGTAGTCTTTAAGTATATCAGCATACACATAATTTAACATGTACATGCAGATTACCATTAGATTGTTGGATGATCAGGATCAATATTGAGTCCTAACATGATTCAATAAATCAATTTATGTACATGTAGGTTTCCATTTAGATGATGGTTGAATCAGTGTTGATTCCTGATGTTGATTCAATATAAAATCAACTAAAATGTGCACACAGATTACCATTTAGATAATGGTTGAATCAGTGTTGATATAGTGTCAGTTAGTGGTTGAAAACCCAACGTTGAATCAATAGGGAATGCCTTTGCACTTTCTGTACAATTTCTACGTTAGGTTTCAACGTAGATTCAATCATTCTGCCTAACTATCTTTCAACGTTGATTCAACCCTATTTTGCTATCTGGGTGGGGTTTATGTGAGGATCATGTTCTTCGACTTTTCAAGTGCATTCAACACCATCCAACCCACCATACTCAAAGACAAGCCCACAGAGATGGGAGTGGATCCTTCCTGTGTTTCCTGGATCGCAAATTACCTGACAGGAAGGCCACAGTTTGTCAGGCTGGGGAAATGTGTTTCTGGGACATTAATGAGCAGTACAGGGGCTCCACAAGGGACAGTGCTGGCGCCATTCCTGTTCACACTGTACACGTCAGACTTCAAATACAGCACTGAGTCCTGCCACATCCAGAAATACTCAGATGACAACGCTATTGTGGCATGTATCAGAAATGGACAAGAAGCTGAATACAGAGATCTGATAAGAGCCTTCAGTGACTGGAGTCACAAAAACTGCCTCCTCCTCAACACCTCAAAGACAAAGGAGATGGTCATAGACTTCCGTAGATCCAAACCCCCTCTTCAGCCAGTGAGCACCTGTGGAGTGGACATCGAAGTGGTGACATCATATAAATACCTAGGTGTACATCTGGATAATAAGTTGGACTGGTCTAAGAATATAGAATACATCTACAGAAAGGGGAAGAGCCGCCTCCCTTGCCTGAGAAGACTCCCATCAATAGACATCTGTAGTAAGACACTGCAGATGTTTTATCAGTCTGTGGTGGCAAGTGTTCTGTTCTACGCTGCAGTCTGCTGGGGAGGAAGCATCAAACACAAAGATGCAAGACGTCTTAACAAACTGGTGAAAACGGCTGGCTCTGTGGTAGGACTCAAGCTGGACTTAGTGGAGGATGTAGTGGAGAGATCTACACTGAGGAAGGTGGAGACTATTCTCAAGAACATGGATCATCCACTTCACAACACCTTGATGGACCAAAGGGCCAATAGCGGTGGACGGCTCCTCTCTTTTTGCTGCAGGAAAGAAAGATTTAGAAGATCTTTTGTACCAACAGCCATCAGGCTTTACAACTCTTATGTAAATAATAGATAACTTTTATAGACATATTACGTGAGACAACAGACAATTGAATTTCCCTTCAGGGATCAATACATTTCTTATTCTTTTACCTCCTCTGTAAGACCTGAGGTGTGATCCACAGTCCTCAGCCAAAGCCTTGGGTCAGAAGGTTAAATTTGTTCATCCAACTTTCCTCTCTATGTTTTTGCATTCTTGTATCCACACAAACAGCTTCCCTCTGTTTCCACATCTGGGTAAAGTCCTGCATAAGTTGTAACTTCTGCAACAGTCAGGTCAACTCTCCTAAGTCCTGATTTGCGAGTGTAAGGGAGATCTGCTTTATTTGGCTGACTCAGCATTTTCATTCCCAAGCTGACAAATGCGGACCATCCTCCTCGTCAACCAAAGCAGCTGGGGTAAGCACAGTCAGTTTTTTAGAGCAAGCCCAGTTACTTAAAAAAAAAAAACATGATCCAGTGTTGAATTTGGTGTGGGAATCAGCAGGACACAGCTAGTAAGCTAACTAATGAAGGTGATTACATTTGGAGGACTTCAAGGTCTGATCAGTAAAATAAGAATCAGGTGAAAGTAAATAATATCATGATGTGTTCAATTGTCATGTCCAAAAAGAGGGGAAAAGTTTTTCAGCAAAATTTCTGTATTGATACAACTGTGGGCAGTAAAAAAGTATAGAAAAGACAACAGCAGTATTCATTGTAGGAGCAATGAGTCAAGCAATATGGAGGACAAAGACTGGCTAAAGGCCCGTCTCTGGTAGGTTAAGTTAGTCTGAGTCAGCATTTACAATATGACAACACTGCTGATATGTTACAGAACTCCTCTTAACAAACAAACATGTCTGACATGTATTATACAGTCCATGGACTGGATGTTGTCTGGATTTTTCTTTGAATTGGTGTACCTTTTACATAATTTACAGGAGCATCCCTGGCGGTTGTACAAATGCAAAAGTGGGAATCACAAACTGCATCTATAAACAAGCTCACACTGATATTGAACTACTTTTGTTTTTACATCTGGATTGACCATTTAATGAGTCAACATTTGCACTCTCACATGCAGATTTTCTTGGTAAAGTCAAGACAATTTTTCAGGAGGCGCTGCCCTGCCTTCTCATTCACAGATGGTCATGGGTTTGGTGTTGCACATTTGGACTTCTACATGTGTATAGGTTTTGCAATGAGCATTACACACAAACATGAGCACATCAGCTTTCTGTGGACACACATTACATAACATCTTGGTCTACTGAATGATGTTTATGAAACATATGCTTGTGAAACTTACTCACTGGAACTCTAAATGAAACGATGTAAATACCACAAGTGCTTTTCTTCATAAATGTAGATGAGATTACAATAGTGATGGCGAGATTAAGCCTCTTGAAGCATTGAAGCTTTCCATCCAATTACTCGCCTCCTGGGTCGAAGCTTCATGATTGCGCTTCATTTGCTCTTTTGCGCCATCAAGTGGACAATAAATGTAAAACAGGCAGAGTGATAAACCAAAGACACCCCTGCGGCTTCAGAATTGCCAAGTAGTTGTCGAAGTAGTATGTAGCATGTCCGAATTGGCCACCGGAGCAAGTAGCATGCTACTTCAGATACTACTCCAGATACTAGACACGCCCACATTGTAGTATGGTCGCGGTGCATCCTACGAGCATGCTACTGACCCAAAATGCACCGCAGGCTTCTTCTTCGTCCTCTTAAAAGTTGTAGAAGCGCATGTGTTGCTAGCGCCACCAGCTGCTGCCTATTTAGATGCGTCGCGACCGCCGGCTGGCCACATCAGCGCGCACCATGGCGGAGCAGCAGTTGCAGCAGCAGCAGGCAGGACTGCAGCAGTAGTTTCATGTAACTTAATACTTTGTCCTAAAAAATGTGCAGTTGTATCTCTTTGTCATGTCATGGTGTCATATTTGCCCAAGTAATCATTTTATGTGGCGACATCATGAGGTAAAGCTAATTTATTCCATC